AAAATTTTTCAACAGGGACATGCAAATTAAAACCAAAATGAGACAATTCTAAAACACCCACCAGAATGACTAAAATTAAAATCTTGACAGTAATAACTTATAATAGAAAAGAATCTGAAAAAGAATACATATCTATCTATCTATCTATATATACATATAACTGAATCTCTTTGCTGTACACATGAAAAATTGTAAATCAACTATACTTCAATAAAAATTTAAAAAATTTTAATTTAAAATCTTGACAAAAAAAGTATAATATACCTAAGAATACATCTAATATATATCTACAAACTCTGTATGGAAAAATATTGATAAAACTTTATTAAAAGACATTAAATGAAGAAGTATACTATTTTCATGGATGGGTAGGAAGAAGCAATACTGTAAAGATGTCCACTTTCCCTAAATTAATCTTCAGAGTCAATGCAACTCCAACTAAAATCTCAAAAGTTTTTTTTAATACATGTTTTGCATGTATGTTATACTTCAATAAATATGCTCTTTTTAAATTAAGAAACTCTGTTTCTTTAAAGGCACCATAGAAGAAGGAAAAGACAAACCACTTTTCTCAATCTTTGAGAAAAGATCATTGCAACACATATAACCACAAAGGATTAGTATTCAGAATATGTAAAGAACACATTCAAAACAATAAAGTAAAAACCCTCAAAGAATCCAATAGAAAAGTGGGCAAAAGACATGAAGAGGAATTTCACAGAAGAGGAAACACAAATGACCAAGACACATATAAAAATTGCTCAATTCCATTTGTAATAAGGATAATTCAAATTAAAACCACAATGAGATTAATAACCACTAGATTGGCAAAATTAAGAAATCTGATGACTCCAAGTGTTGGAAAGCATGTGGATCAATGAGAACTCTTATATACTGCTGATGTGGGTGGAAACAGTTTGCCATTAACTTATAAAAATGAACATCTGTGTACACTATGACCCAACAGTTCTACTCCAAGGTATATACCCCAGAGAAATTCTTGCAAATGAGCACCGGAAGATGGATAAAAGGATGTTCATAATGACACTCTTCATAATAGTAAAGAATGGAAGTTATCCAAATGTCCATCAACAGAAGATTGGAATGAAAATAATTACCTATAACTATTTGTAACACATGGATAAAAATTAGAAACAGAATGCTGAGTGAAAATGCAAGTTATAGAAAATTCTGTACAATATAACATCATTGTTTTTAAAGTCAGAAACAAACAAAAAAGAAATAATACATCATTAGGTAATGCTTTGTGTTAAAACTATTTTAAAAAAAGTAAATGAGTGATTAAGAAAATTCAAGATAGTGGTTACCTCTGGTGGGAAGTCAAGGGAATAATAGAAGAGAGGAAGACATAAATAAAGATAAATGTACTGGTGATATTCTAGTTCTGGAGATGGATGGGTGATTGATTAGGCATTCATTTTAAAATACTATATTTATGACAAATGGAAAAATACAATAGAGAGTACTAGCAACTCTGGCAAACTGGAGGGTACAGCTCCCATCTAAGGACATCTGAATTTTGGAAATTGTAAACACCATGCTGGCCAAACAAAATAAATTTTGAGCTAGACTTGGCTTGGCTTTCAAACTAGTCTGAAAGCCCCAGTCTAGTTTAATGAATCTCAGACTTTTGGTCTGTGGACTTTGCTGAAGACTTATACCTATTTGCTGCTGCAGGAAGATACAAAAAAACCCCAAACATACAGACAAGGAGAAATTTAAGGGAAGTGCTTAAAGATTAGGTGAAGAGAGAAGAGGAATCAGAACAGGAAGACATAAAAAGAGAAGAAACAAAAAACCACTAGAGAAGGGGCGAAAGAAGAAGACATATAATACCAAGAAGGGGGAAGCAGGGAGAAGAGAGAGGTGGAAGAGAGAGAAAGAAGTACAAAGGAATGGAGGGGAGAAGAGAAAAAAGAAACCGTTATCTCCTGTGTGCTAGCCTCTGTACTGGGCACTTTAACACTTTTTTTTTTTTCATCTAATAATCACAACTTTAAAAGACAGTTTTTAGTATCCTGATTTTCAGAAAGCTGAAATAAATTGTTCAACTAGGAGCAGTGTGACTCCCAAATCCTGTTCTTTCTACCGTACCACATTGAATCAGATGTGAGGGAAGACCTACAGAGATGCTAATGGAGAAAAGTGGGAGCTGGGAGAAGATGGGTTTTGCTGCTTCCCTGACAGGCTGTAACAGCCCCCTCTTCTCAACCTCTCTCCCAAACCACAGGCACTTGAACAATGAGGCCGGGTGGGTACCCCTGGCCAGTTAGAGGATGTGCTGGAGGGGAGGTAACCATAAGTCACGGGCTGGAGACAGTTCCACGTACAGCTGTCCCTCATTATCCACGGGGGATTGATTCCAGGATCCTGTGGATACCAAAAGCTGAGGATGCTCAAGTCCCTTACATAAAATGGCATAATACTGAAATTTGCATACAACCTGTGTGCGTCCTCCCATATACTTTAAACCATCTCTAGATTAATTGTAATACCTAATGTAATATAAATGCCATGTAAATAGTTGTAAATGCTATATAAATATTTGCCAGCATGAGGCAAATTCAAGTTCTGCTTTTTGAAAATTTCTGGAATTTTTTTTCAAATGTTTTTGGTCCATGGTTGGTTGAATCCATGGACGCAGAACCTATGCATACAGAGGGCTGACTGTACTCAGGGACTCTTAGCTGGCAAACCCAGTGATGTCTCTAAAAGCTTTGTGTATCCTCAGTGGTCTCTGGGTCCTGGCTTGAGATCTTCCCTGTGATGTTCCCTTCAGCCAGAAGTCTGAGCAATCTCTATATCCTTTCTCACTTGATAATCCTATGATTATCTTGTTAGAGAACTACTGTTTCAGGGTACCAGATGCCTAGTTTCATCCTACAAATAATAAGTTCATCTCCAAATCTGAGAAATGTGGGGTCTACACAAAGAAGTACTTATAACACCAAGGGGAGCAGGGGCCTTTTAATGAGAGAGGAATAGAGATACCCACATCAACACAGAGACACAGACACAGAAAGGAAGGCACAGAGAGTCTCAGAGAAAGAGACAGAGGCAGGATACCAAGAGTGGGGGACAGAGCATACAGACCCAGGAAAGCAGACAGAGGAGTAGAGACACCAGATTCAGATTCCATCAGATGGAGTCAAAGTGATGCCTGGGCACAGGGAGACCCAGCAGCTTGCAGAACAGAAGAGGCACAGAGTGGTGGCTGGACAGGCAAAGGGGCAGGAGAGGGGGAGGAAGGTGGTAGCTTCCATGGGGATTTGTCTATCCATACCACGCAGGAGGGTTGGCCACCTTGGTGCTGCAGTTCCAGAAAGGGGTCCAGTTCCTCTTGGCTCTGCAGCAAGGGGGGCTCCTGGGAGCCCACACATCCCGATGCCTGCAGTTTGTTCCTGAAACACACATTGCCACCACTGCCCTCCGGTCCCAGTGGCCTGTGACAGGCACCAGGGAGGAACACTGCCTCAGCCCAGTCCTGTTGCTTGCCCCCAGCCCAGCCCTTCCGGTTAGCCTAGGCGCAGGCCAGACCCAAACTGGCTTCCCTTTGGGGCTGTGCTTTGGCAAAACTGTGGAGCTGGCTCCAGGCAAGGGTGACCCCTGCTGGTCAAAGGACAGTACTGCCCTCCAGAAAACAGCCAGCGTTCAGCAGGGAGGGAGAGGAAGGGTAAGCTGCATTCTCGCTCTTTGCCTGGTGTCTGATGCCAACCTTAGCTCCTACTAAGATAAATGGTGTGCCCAGGGCTCCCTTTCTTCTCTACCCAAGGGTCAAAATTAGTGCCTGGTAGTGAAAGGTGACACCTGGAAGACCGTGAGATACAGTCGGCACCACACAAAGCGTACTCAGAGCATCTCTGCCTTAAATTAGCCGCTCTTAGCAAGGTGCCATGAGTCCTGCGGACAAGGCTTCTCACCCAAGTTCCCTCCCAAGCCAGTTCAGGGACAAGGTCCTCTCCCCTCACACAGCCCAGCCAGCCCCGCCTAGGAGCTAGAGAAGCTTGGTCTACTCACCAGAGCTAAGAGAACTTGTCCAAGGGGACCATTGTCAAAGCAGAGAGACAGGGCCCTTCCACGGCTAGCAGGCCCTCACAGTGACCACTCACACTGAACTCTTCATGCTGACCCCTGGAGCTTCTCTTTCTGGCTTCCTCTGTCTTTGGGGATATGGTCAGTGATTTTCCAGGAGAGGGGAAGAGCTGGGTCCCTCTCTTCTAGTCTGCCAAGCTTATGTAGGCCCCTGAGCCAGAGTAGTTCTTCCCCAGTTGTAGGGCTGGACTATGATATCTAAATACCTTGGGCCTGCCTCGGCCTGGATCCAGCAGGCAGGGAGCAATTTGGGGAAGGGGGCAGGTTCCATGCCCCAACCCTGGGAGCACCTGTCTCAAGAAACCTCCCAAAGTTCTCTGGGCCTCAGTTTCCTCATCTGTAAAATGAGGTGATGGGGCCATATGATCCCTGAATCCCTTCCAGCTCTGACACTGTTGTATGGTCCTAAGAAACCCAAGTGGGAGGTGGAGGCAATAAGACCTGAGTGTCCTGCTACTCACCTCACCTCCATACCTTTCCCTCACCATCCTCACCCACCTGCCCTTGAGACCAGGTAGAAAGAAGGAGCTAGGACTATTAGGTAGAGCCACATTTTGAAAGGCAGGGTCCACCCTCCCCAAAGGCCCGCAACAGGCCTGGGTTCGGATTCTCCAGGGAAGAGACTAGGGGCCCAGGTCTCTTCAACTCCTGTCATTCCTTTCCAACCACTTCTCCGAGGTATAGGACTTGACAGAAGGAGAGACAGGAGGTCCCCTGGTGTTTTACCCGCTCAGTGGATCCTGGAGCTCCTTGCCCGGCCCCCAGCTATGTCTTTGGAAGGGGTCATAGTTGTGACTGTAGGCACGGAAAGCCCTCGACCTTCGGAGGGGTACAGCGTGGAAGCCGTCTCCCTCCTTCTTTTCTCCCTCTTCCTCATTCTCCTCCAGCTGTTCTCTGGACTCGACCACAGACAGGCAGCGTCGAGTGTGGCCTTGGGGCACCAGGTCTCCACCTGTGAGGAGCACCTCTGGGACGTCCTTGTTCATGGGAGGTACACACAGGCCAGTCTGAATCAAGAAGACAGAGAATGGTGAGTTCTAGAATTCTGGAATTTGGAACTAGAAAGGGGTCCCAGTCAGCCAGGCCTAGAGCATCCTGTCACGCCTCCTTTTACCAAGGCACAGAATTGGAGGATGGCTGGCTCAAGATCATACGAGGAATTAGTTGCAGAGTCAAGCAGAGAACTTGGGTTTTCTGACCCCCAGTCTAGTGTTCTTTCCAGTACATAATGACATCCTCATTCACTCATTATTATTCCATTTAATGAGTAGCTATATGGCAGAGGACCAAGCCAAGCAAAGAGAAATAGGTATTGTTCTTACCCTCAAGGAATTCGTTCTAGTGAGTGTGTGTGTGCGCGTGTGCATGTGTGTACATAGACAAAAGCACAAATCACAAACAACGGCCAGAGTTTGCCAAATGCCACAAGAGAAGTTTCAAAAAAAAGTCTTTGTGATGTCAAAGGAATGAGTGCATATAGCCAGTTGGAGGACTCAAAAAAGGGAAACGGAAGTAAACAGCCTTTGAGATGGGCCTGGAAGGGTGGAGTGGTTAGGATTTGGCCACGTTGGAAAGGGAGGAGTCTAGGCAAATAAAACAGCAGGGAGAAAAGGTGCATGAGTGAGAAAGTAGTATGATTTCTTCTTTCTAAGATTCTGGTCGTTTGGGGAGTAAGAGAGCCATTCTGACCTTTTCCCAAGAAGCAAAGAGAAGGGGTCCAAAACCAGCCACATTGAAATTCCTTCTCTCTCTCCCAAGTGGGCATTGGTCTCACTGCCCAGTACTCCTGGCTGCCATCAGGGCTTGCCTCAGTGTGTCTCAGATTTAAGAACCCTCAGGAGCTCTTAAAGTTGAAAATGATAAGCTCCACTCCAGAAACAAGTACCAAATACCCGAGTACTAAGGTGATGGAGGGGCGGGAAGGCAACTCACATCTACTGCATCTACCTCTGTACACCCCCTCTGGGCCCTATCTCTGTAGAACTTCTGCTAGAATGAGTTTCCCAGGCTCCTCTTCTCCCAGGGGTGAAGCAACTGAGATGTTCAGAGGACCCTGGAGGGCCAGGAAGCAGTGAGCCAGAATTCCCGCTCCTCCCAGGCTTCCTGTGAGGGTGTCAAGCCTTCCGCAAGTTATTTTACTCCCCCCCCCCCCCCCCCCCCCCCCCCCAAAGTCCAGGTTGCTGGACAGTCGTTCCTTCCAGCAACTTTTCCCTCTTCCACTGCAACCTGCCCCCACTCCACCCAGGACCACTGAGATGGCACCTGTGCCTGTGTCAGCTGCACACCTGCCTACCACAGGGAAGGAGACAAGTACTCAGGCCTCTGCAGATGGCATTCTGCTGCCCTGCTGGGTGGGTCTGAAGATAGAAAAAGAGAGGCCTAGGAAACCAGCCCAGGCCCTGTGCCTGTCCGTGCTCAGCACAGCTGGAAGCCACATAGAGGGGACCTCTCAGCCTGCTGCTGGGAGACATCCTCTCTCTGTGTCCACAAACTTGGGCCTCGTGCCATCTGATGTGCTATCTATAAACAGGATGGGATGGGACTTCCCTGGCGGTCCAGTGGTAAAGAATCCGCCTTCCAATGCAGGGGACGCAGGTTTGATCCCTGGGCAGGGAAATAAGATCCCACATGCCACGGGGCAACTAAGCCCACACACCACAACTACTGAGCTCGCGCGCCTCAACGAGAGAGCCTGCATGCTGCAAACTACAGAGGCCACGCGCACTGGAGTCTGCGCGCCACAACTAGAGAAGAGAAAACCCGCACGCCACAACTAGAGAGAAGCCTGCGCACCACAAGGAAGAGCCCGCGCACCACAACGAAAGATCCCGCATGCCTCAACGAAGATCCTGCGTGCTGCAGCTAAGACCTGACACAGCCAAAGATAAATTAAATTAATAAATAAATAATAAATCTTTTTTTAAAAAAAAAAGACTCCGCGCTCCCAATGCAGGGGGCCCGGGGTTCTATCCCTGGTCAGGAAACTAGATCCCACGTGCCGCAACTAAGAGTTCACACGCCGCAACGAAGATCCCCTGTGCCGCAACTAAGACCCGGTGCAGCCAAATAAATAAACATTTTCTTAAAAACATATTTAGAAAATAAACAGGATGGGCAGATCTGCAGGGAGCAGGACAGAGCCTGAGGGCCACAGCACGGTCCCTGCAAACCAGTGGTCTCCAAAGCTGAGATTTGGGGGCAGGGGGAGAGGGGTACTGACAAAAAGTATCGTGAGAAGCTGGGATGGAGGAAAGAGTAGGAACCAGGTATGTTCCCTAGAAAAAGAGGAGCAGGGGCTGGGAACAGGACAGAAATGGAGGGACACTGAGGGGGCACTACAAGGAACTTGGATCTGGCATTCAGTGACCTCACAAAAGAGAAAACACCATTTGACCTACACGCCCTGAACCCAGCTTCTATCTACTCTTCCCGCCCTGATTCTGCCCACAGGGCTGGATTTGATGAGATGAATGAAAAGCAGTGAATGGAAGCCCTTTCCTTTCCCTCCATCCCTGGAGATGCCGCCTGTTGGAGGTGGTACCCTGCTGCCTTGGCCTGGTGGACAGACATTTCGAATCCTGAGATCTTTATGTCTTGAAATTTCACCCTTCTTCCTCCAGCTGAGACCACCTGGAGTCTGACCTCTTCTCAAAGAATTACCCTCTTTCTGGCCTCTCTGTCATGTCATTCATGGTCTCTGCCCTCTGTGAAAATGGAATCCGCTGGGCTCCTTCTCCCTTAAATCTTCATTCCATTCCTCAGAAAGTTTTTCTTCTAAATTCCACCCCTTCATGCTGTCAGGTCAATAATTTTCATTCTATCCTTCAAAGAGATGAGGTTTAGCAAGGTTTCCTCAACCCCCTCCCAGAGATAGTCCCTCCGCCTCTTTCTGAAATTCAAGCTGGAGCCCCTGTGGTCGTGTTCCTTTCCTTGCCCCTCCTTCCATCAGCTCTCTCCCAGCCCCCTCCCATCTTTCACTAGGCTCCTGAGCTCAGGAAATGGTGCAAGGGAGCAACCAGGGCTGGGTCTCACACAATGGCTTTATTTAGCCCCAGAATGAGATCACATCGTGTCACATCACTGCTTCCGCTGAGCACAGATAGGAGATTCTGAAATAGGTCTGAGATCAGATGCTTGAGATGGGGGCAGGGGAGGAAAGCAAGAAGGGGCTCTAAGTCACTTTACTTTTCTTCCTGCCTCTGGATCAGATGGTTTTCCCATCGACACAGACCATCAGCGTCTCGTGATTCCTCCTCTGAGCGTGTGACCTCCACCAATGGCCCTAGCCATCAGTGATTCGTTAGACACTCTACCATGTGCTGAGATGGGAGCACACAATATTTTAACAGAGAGAAATCTCTCTCTCTCTCTCTTTTTTGGGTTGCACCACACGGCATGCGGGATCTTAGTTCCCCAACCAGGGATTGAACCCGTGCCCACTGCAGTGGAAGCTCGGAGTCTTAACTGCTGGACCGCCAGGGAAGTACTGAGAGAAATCTCTCTCATTCAAAACTCTGAGACCATAATTTCTTCAGGGTGCTTTGAAGTTCATCAGATTTGCTAGCTCTGCCACCTTCATAAGCCACATGACCTTGGGAACTTGCTTATTTAATGTTTTTGAGCTTCAGGATCATCTGTAAAATGGGAATGGTAATACTACCTTGTAAGGATATTGAAAGACTTGATAATGTATGTAATACAACTAACATTGTGCTTGGCACATATTGGGTACTTAGCAAATGCTACTATTATTTTTGTTGTTACTATTATTATTTAGAAGCAAAGAGAAGGCAGAGCATAGAGAAATGGAGAGCTGGAGAGAGGAATGCCCAAGACAGAAGCAGAAATAGGCATTATATGACGGTTAAAGAAGAGAGAGAGAGAATAGATAACCCACAGGCTGACACTAAAACAACTGTGATGGGGACTCATTAACATAAACAACTTCTGATAGAAAAGAGCACATAACAACCAGAGCAAGGAGGAGCCTGATGAACCCTGATGAACCTGCACTCTTCAAAGAGAAGGGATGGGGCTTCCCTGGTGGCGCAGTGGTTGAGAGTCCGCCTGCCGATGTAGGTGACAGGGGTTTGTGCCCCGGTCCGGGAAGATCCCACATGCCACGGAGCAGCTAGGCCCGTGAGCCATGGCCGCTGAGCCTGCGCTTCTGGAGCCTGTGCTCCGCAACGGGAGAGGCCACAACAGTGAGAGGCCCACGTACCGCAAAAAAATAAATAAATAAAAGAGAAGGGATGGACAATGGCCTCTGGTAGTTTAGAGCAGAGGTTGGCAAACTATAGCCTGTGGGCCAAATCTGTCCTATTTTCTTTTTTAAATGGTTGGAAAAAAATCAAAAGAAGAATACTACTTTGTGACACATAAAAATTATATGAAATTCAATTTTCAGTGCTCATAAATAAAGGGTTTTTTCTGGGGAACACAGCCATGCTCATTCATTTACATATGGTCTATGGCTGTTTTTGCATTATGACAGCAAAGTTGGTAGTTGCGACAGAGACCATATGGCCCATAAAGCCTAAAATATTTATTATCTGGGTCTCTACAGAAGAAGTTTGCAGACTTGATTTAGAGAAGCTGGGTCTCAAAATCTCAGGAAGGAGGAAAAAGAGATCAAAGAGAGACATTAAGGCTCACTGCCCACCAGCCAGGTGTCTGCAACCAGCTTGGGGGAGGAGGGACATTGAAGACCCCAGCACACCCATTTCCTAAATAGCACCTGAGCCTACAGGGGGAAGAGGCTTAACCCATGAGTGCCTACAGCACCCTGTGGGATCCTCACAACCATTTCTTGAAACAGATATTATCCCTATTTTACATAGGAAGAAACAGGCAGCACAGAGAGGGAAAGTAACTTGCTCAAGGTCACAGGGCTGTAGGAGGTGGAGCTGAGTTTTCAAAGCAGATGCATCCCAGTGTACAGCCTGAGTTCTCTGAAACAAGAAGGCAACCAATGAGAGCAAGTGGCTAGCTTTGAAAGAAAGCTGGCAATATTGTCATTCACTTCCTCAT